CCGCGGATTTTGATGAAGCTCCCACATAAGGTTACTACTACGCCAAGGATGAAAAAGCTTTGTAGTGTTTGGAAATCGGTCTAGTGGCAGCAGAGCTATTGACGTTTCAAAGGCTCATTATCATTTTCAGAAATTTGTGGTATGAGTTAATAATTGGGGTGTGGGTTATAGGACGTGCAGGAGGGCGTAAATAAATCTTTTGACGTATATATTTATACGTGCTCGATTCCCGGCAATACTAGAGCACTTATCGGATATTCGAGGGATGTCTTTCAAGTTTTGCATATGGAAATAAAACAACACGGTAGGTAGTTTTAAATGACTTTATTGTTTTTCGAAGTATTCTCCACGAAGATTAATACACATCCGGATGCGCTCGAACCAATTTTCGAAGCACTTATTTCACTCGTTTGCTGGCAGATCCAAAACGGCATTTTTGAATGCGTCAACTGCTTCTTCCGGTGACTGGAACCTTTGACCACGCAGTCTGTTTTTAGTTTTCGGAAAAGTAAAGAAATCGTTAGTGCTTAGATCGGGACTATATGGAGGATGGTCCAATAATTCCACGTTTTCTTCCGTTAAATACTGCCTTGTTTTTTGGGCTGCGTCCGAGCTTGCATTGTCTTGGTGGAGGATGATTCTTCTTTCGGGGTTGATTTTTCGAGCTTCCGTGATGACTTTTGGCAAACAAATGGTGGTATACTAATCCGCAGTAACAGATCTTTGCTCATTAAGAGGAATTGTTGCAATATGACCCGCTTTTGACACAAATGTCGCCACCATCTTTTTCGAAACACTTCGAGAACGGATGACTTTTGTTGGATTTTCTTCACCTTGGAACACCTAAACAGCCGAATGTCGTTTATTTTCTGGTTCATAACAGTAAATCCACGATTCATCAATACTAACAATGCTGTACACATTTTTTGGGTTTCCGGAATTGAAACGATCAAGCGTTTTTTGACACCAATTAACACAGGCTGCTTTCTGCTCTTCAGTCAACAAGTGGGGTATCCACAGCATCGACGTTTTCCTGGGCGACTGCCGTTTTTGGTGCATCCACCCTGGGATCGTCGCTAAGACTCACCCGGCCACGTTTGAATTCTCCATACCAACGGCAAATTGTCGACTGATGTGGTGCTTCGTTGCCGAAAACAGACAGTAACTCAGCAAGGCATTCTTGTTGCGATAATTGTCTCTGAAAGTTGTAATAAATTATGGCGCGAAAATGTTCTCGGTGAGGTTAAGATTCAGTATTGACGTTCGATCCGCGCGGCCTACTATGTTTCTATATGCAAAACTTAAAAGACATCCCTCGTATTCCACATATGAACTGTCCCTGGATATATCTGCGCCACGGTCTGATCGATGGATGACTGATGTGGCTGGCGAATGGCGGAGTTAGTTATAACAACGTTGCCTTATGGTCGGTAATGGCATTTTTAGATCTCAACACTTCAAATGGTTGGGGACTATGGCTGATTATATCGGCCTATTTGTCCGGCTTGATCCATTTAGTTGTTGTATTATATATGTAAGTAACTAACTTTTGTCTCAGAAGGGCTAACTTGTGTAACCCTTCATGGCATAGTGCAGGGCCAAGTTATGTGACGCTATTTTTATGTGGAAGAATGGAATAAGCTTTCCGATTAAGGTTGTTATAATGCTTTCTTCTGAGGAAAAGGCCTAGTTTCGTTATTGTACGTAGAAATCCATTATAACTCAATTCGTCGTACTCTTTATATTTCTACCAGGCTAGAATCGATATATACAATCCGCATCTATCGCTGTACGGAGCACAGATTGGCTCTCGCCGAATAAATCTTTTTTGCAGCGACACCAGCTCTTAAAAATTCACCTCACATGTGCTGACTTCAGAATTGTGCTTGGAAAGCAAATAACGCTGCAGGCAAATGACCTTCTCTCCCCGCTTTTAGGGCTGGACCTTTCGACATACCAATTCCGTTTATTTTACCATTGCCATGTCAAATTGCGTGCGAGTAGGTATCTGACTGGACTTTTTGAACAAGCAGCATGCGTTGGATGCTCACAAAGCAAAGTTAGCACTACGTGCCTGAGAAATGGAATGGTGTAGCATTGAAACGAACGGTATTCATTCTTATATGGGATCAGAAGCTTGTACTTGATTTCCATTTCAGATCTACCCACACTCACAAAAAACTTAACCTAACATTACCATACTACGTTAACTGTAACATTTGCTGATGACACTATATGAGTACATATAACGGAAACAAATCACTAGCATTTAAGTAGCGACACAACTTCTGCAAAGAAACCTTGAACAAGATAGAGATGTGGCAGATGAAATCGTGCATTCATAAATATTTACATCATGGTATAGTTGTGGTCACCATTCTTGGCGGTTACGCCATATATGAAATAAGTAACTACTCTCTCCAGTACGCATGAAGTGGGTAACAGGGCACTGCTGTATTCATTCTCTTCCTGGAAATAGTCTAATAAATTATCACGAGCTGTCGGCCATCCCCATTGGTCGTATTTCCGGGCATTTTACAATTTTATATTGAAGATTGATAACAGGATAACTAAAATTGCACGCCGTTGTCAAGTAAGTTGTCGCTCTGACAAATATGATTGAAAGGGACTTATACTTGACGACAAAGTTTTCGAGACGGGGACACACAACTAAAAAACGTATGCCTTTGAGCTTACCGAATAAACGTTCACACACAGGGGTAGCTGGTATGTGTACGTATGAGGGAGATGGAGATATATAAAGGGATACTGGTAGTCTTACTTTGACCCGCCAAGAACGGTGACTAGAACTGTATCATGTGAGGTGGTGAAGCTTTATTTGCCCCATTTCGGCTCCCGCAATTATGCACATGTGGCACTCGTTCGCATATTTTATTTATCTAGCTCCGATATTATGTTTTATAGCTAATAAATTTAGTACCTGACTGGCTGGCGGTCAAAAGAAGTAAAGACCCTTTTTAAAAGCACTGTACAGAGACAACTCAACCATCAAAATCGCTTCAAACGGATCTCTCGTGGTACTTTTGAAGATACTGATTTATATTTCTTCGGTTATCTTCTCCGGAGTATTCCGTAAATCCACTTAAGTTCATTTCGCTGAATTTTGGTATTTTCGTAGTTATTTATATCCATAAAAATTTAAATGAGAATTTTTGTTTATGCTGCTTTCTCCACACAACTCGGCAGAAAGATTCAATATCTTATTTAAAAAAAATATTATACAGTGTGTAATTGGTTTGACAATAATGTTGACTTTTTTCGAATTATGGCATCAATTTGGTTAGTTCCTTGACTTATGTTGAAATAGTTAAAGCTTTGGATTTACCATCCGCAATCGTTGGGATAGTTGAAAGGTATAATGGACCGGGTCCAATCAAATTCCAAGTGAGGGTACCCGGCTTCGGTTGCAGTGCTACCTTAAACCGCGTACAGACCGAGATTCCAACACAAGCCAAGGCACATGTGGTTACAGATTTGGAGGTCTTTGATTCGGTGTGTACGGCGCGAGCGAACATGAGCCAATGGTTTCCAATGTGGGCGTTGGCGTTCGATTGTGTTCGCTCCTTGATCGGTGCATCAAACGGTGGTTTGATTTGGTCTGGACCGAGATTAACCCAACGCGGTCCAAGTCGAGACTAAATTTAGGTGTAGACGTTGGATTTTCGGTCTGTACGCGGCTTAAGGATGGCTGTGACTCAGTCTGGAATAGGTGGAAGGCATAGCCCAGGCCCGATTTACTCGTTGGTTTCAATACTTCTTTGCGATAGCTGTGGCACACTATGCTATGAAGAATCAAAGGCTTATGTTCAGTATGATCGCAGCTTTTCGGGATTGGAGCAAGGTTTGGAGCGCTGAAATCCTGACTTTAAAGAATCGTATAAAAGTCTTTTCTGCGTCAAACCAAACCATCCAATATCTTGTTTCCAAGTAAGCAATTGATCTGTCGTGCATTTTAGTATCTCATTTTATCAAAAAATTTAAGGTATCTTTCACTTCTGCTTCAGTGAAGTGAATTCGGTGATTCTAATTTAGAAAATACCGGTTTACTTCCCACGTCAATTGGCGAAAAATTTCTTCAACGAGATACTATGCTTTTGAATGTTACACGACATATACATACATACATAAACCGTGTGACTCTTTACGCCGGTCTGGGTGTTTGTCCGTTGATCATTGGTTCCGCTATGGAACTTGGAAAGTACCGATCTTATTTTGATGAAATTTCGACACAGACGAAAAAGCTTTTCAAGTTTTTGAAAATTGAATCTACAGGCAAAAAAGAAAATAATTAAAATCTCTCAAACTCCGTTCTTTGACGTTTCATAGACTTATTATTATTACTTTTTTTTCGGTAGGGTAGAGTACGAGGAATTTCTAGATCGCAGCGTTGTCAACTGGGTTATGGCTTTGAACTGATCGTATCCATTCAATTTTTTTTTGTTCCTATGCCTAAGGAAGTACTGTAAACGCAAAAGATTTTGAAAATGAGGAAATATGTTTTTTTGGATGCCTGTCGGTCTGGCCTGTAATCGTTGGCTCCTCTACAATTTGGAAAGTACTACTCGGATGAAATTTTAATACAAGGTTACTACTACACCAAAGACGAAAATCGCTCTAGTGACGGCGGAGACGATCAGTAACGAAAAAGTGAAAGTCGCTCGAACGCTCAATTCTTTGATGTTGTATTTTTATATGCTCCCAACCCCGGTCATTCTAGCCATATTTCACATATCATATGTTTTCCCGTACATTTGTATTTAAAAATATGAGGGATGTCTTTTAAGTTTTGCATATGGAAATAAAACAACACGCTAGGTAGTTTTAAATGACTTTATTATTTTTCGAAGTATTCTCCACGAAAATTAATACACATCCGTATGCGCTAGAACCAATTTTCGAAGCACTTATTCCACTCGTTTGCTAGCAGATCCAAAACGGCATTTTTGAATGCGTCAACTGCTCCTTCTGGTGACTAAAACCTTTGACCACGCAGTCTGTTTTTAATTTTCGGGAAAGTAAAGAAATCGTTAGAACTTAGATCGGGACTATATGGAGGATGGCCCAATAATTCCACGTTTTCTTCCATTAAATACTGCCTTGTTTTTTGGGCTGTGTGCGAGCATGCATTGTCTTCGTGGAGGATTCTTTCGGGGTTGATTTTTCGAAGCTCGGTGATGACTTTTGGCAAACAAATGGTGGTATACCAATCCGCAGTAACAGTTCTTTGCCCATTAAGAGGAACTGTTGCATTATGACCCGGTTTGATACAAATGTCGCGACCATCTTTTTCGAAACACTTCGAGAACGGATGACTTCTGTTGACTTTTCTTCACCTTGGAACACCCAAACAGCCGACTGTCGTTTCTTTTCTGGTTCATAACAGTAAACCCACGATTCATCACCACTTAAAATGCTGTACACATTTTTTAAGTTTCCGGAATTGAAACGGTCAAGCGTTTTCTGATACCAATTAACCCTGGCTGCTTTCTGCTCTTCAGTCAACAGGTGGGGTATCCAATGACAAACTAATTTTCTTACTCCTAATTCTTAATGTAAAATTTTTGAATTGAGGTCGTTGAGATCTGCAAGGACGCCTCAATCTCGCGATATGTCACATGTCTATCTTCAATGATGAGTTTGCGGACAGCATCGACGTTTTCCTGGGTGACTGCCGTTTTTGGTGCACCCACCCTGGAATCGTCGCTAAGACTCACCTTTCCACGTTTGAATTCTCCATACCAACGGGAAATTGTCGACTGATGTGGCGCTTCGTTGCCGAAAACAGACAGTAACTTGTCTCTGAAAGTTGTAATAAATTATGGCGCGAAAATGTTCTCTGTGAGTTCCATTTTTCTAATGACTTGGTGACACTTAAAAATTCACTATAGTGAGAACACTGCACGTATTGTTGTGAATCTTTGAATTTAAGTTTACTAAAGAGTGAGGTTAAGATTCAGTACTGACGTTCGACCCGCGCGGCCTACTATATTTCTATATGCAAAACTTAAAAGACAAGATGAAGAATGACCGAGAAATGCTTTCTAAAAAGGTACCACCACGGCACCACGCTAAAAACCTTATGTAATCGGGCTGCTGGTTAAATCTCTAGGACAAGCATGTATACAAATGCCGTGTCGCAGGTGCTCTCGTATGATATGCCAAACAGATTCGGAAATTTCAATATCGTCCACGGGTTAAGATTGTAACCGGTCCGCTCCGACCGCAAGACGAATGATCCTTCCCGGCATGTGCGCTACGTCAGCTTTGGTTCCATACAGAGGCGTACGTTAAGCTATGTAGGCGGGATAATCTTCTGCAATTTAGTAGCTGTATTTTTAGAGCAAGTTTGGTGGATCTGCTGATCGACATTCTTATCCTTTGGCTAATCTACTAGAACACTACTAATATACTTGAATATATGTTGCTAAAAAATAAATAGCATTATCTGCTAGGATTAAACACTTAATTAACACTGACAACGGCATAGTTGAAGCTATGTACGTGTCGAGTCAAAACAATGAAGGGATTTCAGCGTTCACGTGCTTTCGATGCCACCCAGGAAAGTTGTGACACACCAAGCTATAAAAGGTGAGAGGATTGTCTTTGTTCAGTAGACCCAGCATTTGTTCACGGTTGGAGCAAGGCTCTCAACGGATCCTGACTTAGTTTAACGATTTTTATTCCTTGTCTTTACCGATGGATCTGGTACAGCGGCTGTATAATTGAACCTCTTAGCCTGTGCTTTAAGGGCATGTTTAGGAAGCTGTCACCAGCAAATTACCGAGCGCAAATGGAGTTACTTAGGCCTACATTATATGGGAATTTTGTCGCATAGCAAAGATAGATATACTCATCCACAGAACAGCGGTTCTGCAAAGCGCACTATTACTGACGCCAGATGGTATGTCTCTAACGAAACTCTTCACCTAGACCTCGATGTCCTTAACTTACATTCAGCAACAGGCACAGCGGATCTATAGCCAAGCGGAATCGCACATCAACCCTCTGTTGCGCGAGTCACTGGACTACACAGTCGGACAAGTTCGCAAGCATAAAAGCCCGCGGCTCTCACTGTAATCATAATTAATTCGTGAATGTATAACAACCAAAATTGGAGTATTTGGACAAGAATCTTAGATAAATCAAATATTTTTAGACCTTATCAAAATCTGTCAAGTGATTTTAATAATGCCTAAACGCTCCCTGCCATAACAGATTCACTTCTTCTTCTTTGCTGTCGTGCTTCCTTCTCTCTTTTCCTAAATTGTATCGTTTCTGGTCTACCAGATCTGATAGACTCTCAAACTGACACTATGACTCAAGAGCTGAGGTCTCATGGACCCCACTGGCAACCAACGATTACTTGATTTGACATAAGTGGTTTTAGATGGATGTTTAAGCAATATGAACTTGAGTCTGGATTCCTAATTCTTTGGTCATGCTGCAAACCGGGTGATCCCTTCAGGTAAGCGAGGAAATGATTTGTATTTGCCTCTGTATAAATGAATGCTATAAATGTAGGCTCTTTAACGCCATTTGATCGTCACAGTAAAACTACAGGAATAAGTTTCATACATTCATCTCCCTCACACATACATGTATGCACGCAAACTACCTCTATGAGCGGACGTTTGTCTGTAGGATCACAGATTCACGGCTTTTGGCGATTACGTCACAATGTCAAGCGAAATAAGTAACCAGATTTACTAAATGTACCATGTGTGAAGCTTAATTTCCCTAAGGGAAATTGCACTCTGCACAAACCGATCCTTAATGTAGCAGCTACTCGCCCTTGCATACACACATGCATGGGGTGACAGAAGACCATTGTTTTAATTCACTTTCTAAAAATAAAAACACGTCGAAATTGTAGTTGTATATTTAGGTATTGCTATATTTTATATCGAAGGTAAACTCAAACCACACACGCTCATGAAATGCAAGTTGTGCTACCGACAGTGACAAGCATAAATGTGGAAGACTGATACGTTGATGAGAACATTTTCAAGATGGTGGGACAAATCTAAAAAACGTATCTCTGTAAGCCTACACAAACAAACGCAAAGAGGCCCATTGCATAATGTATGTATCAGGTGGACGGATGTATAAAAATAATTCCTGTAGTCCTACTGTGCCCTTCAAAAACAGTGAAATGACCTAAGCTTTTTTTAATTTTTTCCCTTAAAAATGTTATATGTCTTCAACAATTGTGGTTGTCACTGTCAGTGGAAAATTTGCTCACCTTTTGTTGATTTGAAAACTCAGCAATGCCTAAAGATACAACTTACATTGTTACCAGTCTATGTCAAATTCATAGAAATATTTTCAGAAATAAAAACAGTGTAAACAGCGGTTTACACCGCCCCTCCCTCTTGATCCATATGACATTGTGACCAACCGCCGCGAAAAGCCGTGAAAAGAACTGTATGTGTTTCGCAAAATTTTCGGAAGGTACTGTATATGAAGAACTGATTCTGTTACATTGTTCCTATTTCTTCGTAGTGGTAAAAGATATATTCCGAATTAAAGTTAATGCGTGTACGCTACTGACTAAGGGCAGCTACTTTTCTTCGGAGTTTCGGAAAATTGATGAGATAAATTTATCCGGCGAATATGGATTCCTGACCCCTGTCGGATGCATTGTCACCCTTTAGACAACCATAAATCTAAATCACCGGTCACAAAAGTTCATCGAACAGACAAAACAGGAAATAATGTAGCGGATGAATTATCTGTCACAACTCAATTTTCTACCTACACGTATCTGCTGTTTGCACGATGTGATGGTGATCTGCGGCAGTGTTGCCAGATGGCTCCATCAAATTGGACATTATTATGCTACCATGTTATTTGGAACCAAGTATATTAGTTGAACAATTCTTCAAAAAAGAAAAAGCGTCACTCATTATTTCTGAACAAAGTATTAGGGCATTATGTCTGACCAATTAAATGTTAGTAAAGTTTGCACCATGTAGGTATCATACGCTAATTCAATGATCACCGTGAAAAAACTTTTTAATGTTTTAATGTTCCAAACAAGGGGCAAAGTTGTACTTTCATAAATGGAGATCAACCAATTCAAGAGAAAATCACGGTTAGACAAAGAACGATTGTGTCATGTTCCGGTATTAGTGACGATTGCTGTATTTGATAAGCAGAAGACATTTCATGAGACCTAGGTGATGGTTGAAACACACATGTCCACAACAAAGCCATAGATATAGTGCAGAATATACATCAAACATGTGACAGTCACTGCTAAATTTGCACAACTATTTGGAGCACCGAAACATTTAACACATAGATTGCCGGGCATTCGTAGCAACTTCACATCGATAACTTAACAGTTTTTTGAAGACTTCGAAACTACATAATTTTAATTTTTACCGATTGCGAAATCTCAACAAAAGGAGAGGACTTATGTTTAGATCCGAAGACGAACATCCGGGAGTCCTATTATGATTTTAATCAGAAGGAGCAATGGGAGCGCTGATTTAATGAGAGGTTCTTGCATTATGGTGCTTCAATGTGATGGAAACTATTATGAAAAAAATGAATCGTTGTTTCATATGGCAAGGCTCATGCTGTACACTGCGTAATATACTTGATTCATGAACTGATCGAGCCCCGACTTCTAATATGCACTGCTGTGGATACTGCTTATAGATTAATAGAATGCAAACATTGGAAGGTGTATGTATATTTTAATCACAATAGTAAGAGACGTATTTTATTTCTACGCACCAAGATTGGTATATTATATAGAAGCAAGCCATTGTTCGGCAGTTATTCAGAGTATAATGACCGACGCCTATAATGGCCTCGGCAACTGAAGCATGTGGATTCTTTTATTAACTCCATATTCTCTTACGTAGGATATTGGATCATAAATTGTAAGCATCTCTCTATTACATTGAATAACTTTTTCAATTTTGAACTATGGAAGACATAATTTACTTACATGCAACGTGGACAAACTATTATAATTACTATTATAATGGAGTAAATAACGGGTATTTTCCAGG